ACACACACACGAAAAGGAAAAGCAGTCCAAATAGAAATAGAAACAAAATTTATGCAGAGATCTGAGCACTTTTGTAAAGCAACCTACTGTATGACTAAATCATGATAATCAAAGGCAATGTAACATGAAATGAATTTGAAGACTCAGGCAAGTATTTTTAAACAACAATATTTGAGCCTGACCTTGTAGTACATATTGCTGAAAGCTTGCTCCTTGTCTCCGATGCCAATCCAATAGCGAGGACATGGTTTTGTGAAAAAGGAAAAAGAAGATTTATTACTTTGCTAGCAAAGGAGAAATGCAGGGGATTCCTATCCCAACAGCTGTGATTCTGTCATAAAAGTATGAAAGGGGGCTTTTATAGAGGTGATTCAGAGAAAATGAGATTAGGAAGGAGAAATAAGCAAGAAGTTTAAGGAAAAGAAGATCAGGGAGCAGAAGTTTTAGGAAAAAGAAGATTGGGGGAAAAGAAGAAAACATGTAAGTTTCACAGCCACAAGGAATATATATAGTCAAAGCATCAAGTGAACCCCTATTACATACAAACTTGCAATCCCAGCTACTGGGGAGGGTGAGGCAGGAGAATTACAAATTTGAGGCCAGCCTCCACAACTTAGTGAGACCCTAACTCAAGAAAAAAAGTAAATAAACCACAGTATTTGCTTTTGGGGAGAAGGGGGCACTGGGAATTGAACCCAGGAGCGCTATTCCACTGAGCTACATCCCCACGTTTGAGGCCAGCTTGGGCAACTTAGTGAGAACCAGTCTCAAAAAATGTCTGAGCATGTAGCTCAGTGGTAGAGCATCCATGGGCTCAATCTGCAGTACTCACCCCGACCCAACCAAAAAATAAAGGTAAACTATCTCCAGGGAAGCATTTGTTTTCTCTAATAGTTCTAAATTCCAGGGCACAAATTTGATTTTGGTACTTCCATGTAGTTCTGCAAAGCCTAAGGTTATTTATACAAGGATAAAGAACTATATGATCACTAATACATGCATACATAACCTATATCTGGTTAATATTAAGTATAATATCCAGTTTTATGTTGTCACCTGTCAAAAAATAAAGATCTAATTGGCTTTCATTAGTGAGCTATGAATCTGGCAGCATCTCATCTATGGTTGTTCTGGTGGCATCTTATCTATGAAAATAGTTGTTCTGGTGGCATCTCATCTATGAAAATAGTTGTTCCAAGATCTGAGCAGAGGTGGTTAGCTAAACAGGCAGAAAAAGGATGAAGAAATAAAGAATGAAAAGCAGGATGAAAGTTAACTTTCCTTAGAGGGTTAAAATAGGAACTTCTTTATTATGCTGGCCCACTAGACTGAGCTCTTTCTGATTGGTTGCTGTGAATCTCCTGTTTTGTTTTGTTTTGTTTTTTAAAGGAGACCATTTAAAGACCAGTTTGATTACTGGCATCTAGGTCAAGTGACTTCATTCTGATTTGGTCTGGTCAGTGCACACTGCAGGAGGTCAGTTCAAATAATGGCTTTTTGTGAATTTTATTTAACACCACTGATTTTTTTCTATGCCTAAGTCACCCACCTGTTATAAATTCCTATTACAAAGGGACCCGTAATAAACTATTTGCAATATTTGGAGATCTTGTTTTGTTTTTGCAGTTTGGGGACTAGAACCCAGGAGCATTCTGCCTCTGAGCTACCTTCCCAGCCCTTTATTATTTTTTATTTTGAAACAGGATCTTGCTAAATTGCTGAGGCTGGCCTTGAACTTTGGATTCTCCTGCATCAGCCTCCCTGGTCACTGGGATTGCAGCCATGCAAACTGTGCTATGCACATTCACATGCTCAACAAATCTAGGCTATTTAATAAGAAGCAGTTTGATATTGTGGAAAGATCAAGCCTAGGCTCAACGACAAGACTTGGTTGTGCCACTGACTGTGAAGCTGTAGGAGCAAAGTACTCTCTGATCTTCAGCTTTCTGGCTGTAAAGAATATTTGTAATATGCTGTAGAATGGAAGGAATTGACGTTGTTGGAGGTACTTGCCCGCCGGCGTGCGGGCTCCTGGTTTCCAGCTGGCATCTCCGCAGGCCTGCGCCCGGGCGCGCGCGGGGGCCCCC